CAATTCAATGTGCTTTATTTCCATCCACTAGACATCTAGTCTTCGATATACATATGTATGTTACTTTTTAAGCATTGAATCCTATATCCAGCAGGCGATCTTATAAATCTTGCACCTTGGTATAAGATTATAGCATATTCTGCAAGTGATACAGGATGTATTTCTATTTACACTATTTTATTTTATTTCTTTTTCATTTATCCTTACAATCTCCATCAAAATGTTGCAATTTTAGATTACTGTATTAGAATTATCGTATAACATATGAGCATTATTAATTTTCCTTTGTTTTTGTAATTTTTTCGTAATTTGTAGTTATGTGAGCAACCTGGCTATCTTATTAGATTGTGCTTGCCTCTGTGACATACTTGCTTTACTGATTAAATGTTATTTCTTATCAGACTATCCACGGTATCGAGGTTCATATTATTTATATTACTATAGAGGTTTAAAACACTCAATTGTATCAAATATACATTAAACGCCACCGAGATCCTTCATTAGGCAGTGCACTTATCTAATTTATATTAATTAATAATAGTTTAATTCTAAACCAAACCTTCCAAAAATATATCATAAATGCATGTTAAGTTGTCAAGAGTACTTCTTGAATTATATCTTTTTTTTAAGACGAAGAAGAAAAGAAAGTCGTAAAGGTTAATACCGTTATCTTTTTATCATGTGTGTCTTAATTAAATAATTGAAAACTTTTAATTCCGTTTTACGACTTGGTTCTAGAATTAAACACAAAAGGATCCTATTAAGTTCTAAGGTTTTATGAAGCGTAACTTAAAAGGTTAGTCAAACATTTTCTCTCAATTAGCGAAGTGTAGCAAATGTCTTGTACATCTTTTGATTATACAGATAAGCCGTTACGTTTATATACTTTTCCATTTTCATCACATGCATGGTGTCTCGCTTATTTTTTCCTTTATACAGAAATATATAATAATTGAAAAGAATCAATAACGTTTCTAACACAAATCTCATCATTTCTTTTCATTCATGTCATATACAATCTTGACCCTATATTGTATTAACCATTTATTGTACATATAAATTAATTAGGGATTTTTCCTATATCATTTCGATCGGCAGTGTTCTTTAATCAAATAATATTTCTTTAAATGCATATTATTTTGATTAATCCATGAGTTCTTAAGGTTCAAGACGAAGAATCATTTTCGTGAAGAATTATTCTCTGAGCTGTTATATTTAGAGTTAAGCCCTTCTTTGTTTTTACTTTTTACCTATAAACAATTAGTTTCTATTCTTTTTAACTATATAAAAAAGTAGTGATTAAATAAATTTCTGAACGTAGTGTTAAACGGATTTGTTAGTTTAGCATTGGAAAGGTTGTTGGACCTTAAGCTTATTTATTATTCCCTTTCATGAATTTATGAGCACTTTATATGGATACAACTAGTGATATTGGAATTAAAATGGTGTAACGTAATTTGTTGGAAATCCTTGATATATTCACCATAAATATATTAAGATGCCTAAAATTGACATTATGATAATTTTAACATTTTAAATCGCAAATCTTCATCGACCAACTTTGCATAAACATCGTCAAACTACATATATATACATGATATTTCAAATGCGAAACTGATTATTTGTTTCTTCTCTTACAAAACTGTGTGTTTAATGGGTTTTCATTTGGATTGTAAATATACATCAGGATTGCAAATAGTTTTTTCAATATATACCATAATTAAAGTTAAGGTTGCCAACGATGATTCATTTGTTATTAAATAATATATATATATATATATATATATATATATATATATATATATATATATTATTTACATCATTGATTTGTATACGATGATACGATGATGTCAAATTATATATATAAATGTTTGCCCGAAACCAAGACGTAATCAAATATATTTATAATATTTTTTTATTCCAAAACTAATTGTTAACAAAATATAAAATTAATGCCACTCAGAATTTCCTAAGCAAGGGTTTTACGTACGTCAAAATTGACGTATAATGGCATGGAAGCCCAAAGAGTAATTAATTATATTATAATACATTACTAGGGCACTTTAAGTTGTCTCATTGCGTCAGTGTACGTAAATAGATGAACAGAAATTTTGTAATGTTGCGTGTCAGTTGATTGCTTCGTATTAGGGTCATACCTTCATTAACTAAGAGGGTATTCCTCATATTAAATAATACTTAAAATACTATACATATATAATTACAAATATATACTGATTATATTCCAAAACGATAAAATTACTATATTAAATGAGTCATTAATTTTTTTGTATAATGTTATTATACAACTTATTGATGTATCCAAAATATTGCTAGTTATAATTTAGAGAGATCTTAGGATAAGAAACCGTATAAGAAATAAAAAGGGAACTCATTTCTTCAGAACTTGGGAAAAAGTATAATTTTTCAATTTGTCTACAAAATGGAGCAGCTCAAAACATAATCAGTGAAAGGAATAATCGTTAACGATCCGTAGGTTTTTGCAAATGCCTGAAAGAAACTGATCGTATGTCCGTAGTAAATTTCTATTCAGTAAATGAATTTTTCATCTTTTGTTATAAAAAAGAAATTAAAATAAATCCATATATCTTAGAAAATTGAAAATTATCACTAATATATATGACTTTTTTGATAAGAAAATAAAGAAAATAAGAGATGTTTTTGCTTTTCAGTGATTTTCTCGAAAATAATTATTTTATTCATTGACTCAAACGAGCCACATATCCATATAACAAAATTATACTACTATAACAAAATTTGTACTATAATAACATTTATAATCCTTAAGGTTTTTAAACAGTAAAGTTTTTTTTTGAGAATATTATTTTTGTATAAAGTTACTTTTTAACATTTTTTTTTTATAAAGAAATCTTTATAATAGTAAAATAAATATCCAATCCCAACAATTTAAGTTTACTTGGATGTAACATTACTTCTGATTACAATTCAGAACTTTGTATCGCCTTCGTTAACGGGGTAAATAATTTGCTAACGAAATAACTTTGTTATACATAAAAGCAATGTCACAAAACTTGCTTAACCAAGGCTTCCAAAATAAATGTAAGAAATAAGGACAATTTCTTTTTCAGTACTATAAGCGGAGCTTCGAATAATTACTTGCTCAAGAGGTTTCATTTAAGTCGGAGAATGTTAAATTGTTAAGATATTATACACATATTATAGCTTAGTATCGTAAAGCCGTATAGATTCTAAGTATTTGTCGATTAAGATTGTATTCGTCTAACATTTTAAATAAATACAACGCATAACTCTTAACTCGGATTTGTATATTAATTATTTTGTATTTAAATGAACAACAGTTTCTATCAAATTATTAGTATGCCTTTTAGAGGATCGGTCTTATGTACATATACACATATGTACATATACTTAGATATGTATTTTTGTATTCAGGACCAGAAATAAATCAACTCAGATTCTTAAGTTACTGTAAATATATTGTTATTTGCCCATTGTGCCCATTAACCATGACGTATTTTGTTGTCTTTTATCTTTCCCATCGGTAGAATCAATATCCGGACCCGTCCTTCCTGGTTTTAATTTATTCTACGCTAGCCTCCGTGACCTTGTCCGTGTGATCCTCGTTTGCTAAGGAATCAACTTTTTTATTCAGTAGTTACATAAAATTCTTTACAATTTAATGAAATTCCTTTTGAGATTCTCTCAACAATATGTTCGAGTCAACTAATAAAATGTTTAAAAAAAGTCTTAGTCTCATACCAATTACCACAAACTCCTAAGAAAATATAGACAATTTGAAATGACAAACAAAATTTTTTTTTATATTTACTATGTTGTTTACGAAATTATTTTAGATTTTGAAAATTGAATAAATAAGATATTTTTTTCTTACTATTCAACTATCTCAGAGGAGATATTTCTTTTAATGAAATAAAATTCTTAAGAATTCATTATTGTCAATTCTTATTATGAAATTGATTCTCTTTAGAGCTGGCGCTAAAGATAAGGTAGGTACAATTGAACAGATAAGCTTTTGCTTCAGTTCGGACAACATTGTACTTTTAATAAGAGACATTGAATTTTGTATGAACAAATAATATTACTTTTCTTATTGTCGGATGCCTTTTATTGCCTTTTTTGCGGGAACCGTTAAACCAAGTAAACAGGAGTTCTTTTACATTACCTATTAATAGTTTTGTTTATCTACATATAATACACACCTATATTTTAGACACGTTCTTGTAATTAAAATTTTAGCTATTTATACTTTATGTAGAGCAACATTAACATTTGTCTCCCCATTTAATAATGTTAAAGAAAAGTATTTTATTTTAAACACCAATGTCTTTTCCTCCTGAACTTATATTTTGACAGATGACATATTTTAAAAGGCGAAACAATTCAGTATTATTATTTCTATTTTAAATGAAATTAGTATCTGAAGAGATTTTAATTGAAATATTTATATTTTCAATAGTCTCTTCGCGATTACTCTTATTAAACCTTAGAACCTAAAACTAGACTCAAGAACATTACACAACTATTACACTGTATAAAAAGGTTGTAATATAAGTTGATATTGTTTGGATTGGAAACTGAAATTTAACTTGTGACATAAGTTGTTAAAAATAATGTTTAAATAGAATTTATACTTTGAATACATCACCTATTCTAGCACCTAATTATTATGTTATTGATTTAACATAATAATATGCAAATCGTTTCAATATCTAGCAGTAAAGGTACTGAATCTTAGCTTAAGTGACTATTCCAAATTCTCATAGTACAAGGATAGTCGAAGTAACTTAGTTTGACTGTTAAACATGGCAGAACCTGTCCTTTGTAGTTGTCTTAGTTTAGTTATAAATATATTATATGAACCATAATGTTCATTAATATATGAAACAATAAATAACGATACTACTTATTTAAAGGAATCTTGTCATTACTTCTTGTGCTAAAATGTGTTTTTTTCCTTAGCAATCATCAGATGGTTAGCGATGTTAAACTTGTCTCCGTCGAGTTATCGGAACATTGATGATGGAGAGCGAACAGTGACGAGCAAGAAGGTCTACTCGAGAAGACCCTGGTATGCGCCGCCTATCGATCCTATAGAGATTATAAAGGATCCTATTGAACAGTATAATACAGGTATTATTAATATTCATAGCCATAATATTAACATAGTTCTAACAAGTTTACCCCTAACTTCGTAGCATGTAACGTTATTAAGTTACTTGTACGCATTTCAATTTATTGAACTAGATCTAGTGTTTAAAAAGAAAATAAACTGTAATTCTTTTTTTCAATATCTTTTTTGAAAGAATTTTGTAAGGTTAAAACTGAAAATTTCATTATAAATAAAAAAAATCATATGTATCTCGCGGCGGAATGTTTTCAATATTCAAGTTAAAAAAAAATAGATATTAAACCAACCATGTATGTAATATATTGCACATATATACATGTATTCACATACCGCAGGTTATGAAAGTGACTACAATTCTGAGCCAAGTGAAGAGTATTATGAGCATGTGGATAGTGAGCCAGTAAATCCAATTCAAGTCAAAGCTCTCGATCAGGTGGAATCTTCGGCAGCAAGCCCAAGATACGAAACCGCTTCCACTGTCAGTACAGTTACGGAATTCTCCATTGCCAATGCTATAAATTTAAGAGGTAAGAATTTACTAACTTCCATATTTCAATGTTACGTAAATACTTACTTAGGTTATTACAGATTGAACTAAGTTAGGTAGTTACTTTTCCCTGTGGTTCTTTTATAAATAACATAATGAATTCACGTCATTCTAGTTATTTTACCCGGGAACCAAATTTTATTATTGTGTAAATATTTGCCCACTAAATATAAATATGCAGTATATTTTGATGAAGTATTGTCCTCTTTGTGAAACTTTATGTTAATTTCAACAATTTACATCAATTGCTACTATGTGGTTAATATAACTTGGATGAAGTTTTATAACTATATAATATAGATCACAAACGATAAAGCATTAAGGTTTTTGTAATGTATGCACTACTACGAAAGTTGTGTAAAAAATATCTTTCTATCTTATATTTGTAAATGTTAACAAATAATATTTCTTTATAGTATTAAAATAACTGTCCTGCATTCTAAATATTTTTGCGTTCCATTCGAAAACTTACAAATTAATAATTTTTTGATCTACGTATACAAAATATAATAACATTATTTTGAGGTAATTTTATATTTTTTGTAACATAATGCTGTAGATTGTCTTTGGTACATGAAAAATGCTTTAATGTATATCATAAAAACTTTTATGATGCATGGTCGTATACGGAGAGACCATTAAATGTGATATTTTCATGCTGTGTTAATAAAAGATTCATTAGGTACTCGTTTCCCTAATATCCTAAAGGTCAATGATGCAGCAAATTTTTTAAGATGTTATTAAATTTTCTGCGGTAGGTGTTATAGAAAAAGGGAACTGAACAGGTCTACAGCTTAGTTTTCTTAAGTAAATTTATCATTATATCCTAGAACACAAATGTAAACCATTTAAAAACATGGTATACCAGATGTATACATCTGAAGTATATCTTCTCTGGTACGAAAACAACCTTCGTGACTTTTTTTTGTTTTAAAAGGCGAATGCCATGCCCACCAGACACTTCTGACACATTCTTTACTTTTAAAATAATTTTAAATACAATATTTTGATTATGTCACATTTATGGAGTAAAGAAAAAGAAACTACTAGGAGTTAACTACGATAACCAAAATTTTAATTATAAGGAATTAATTTCACCGCTATTATTTATTTGTTTGCTTAGTGTCCAACCAAATTTTAACAAGTCTTTTAAATTTTAAAGCTACAACACAAATATACCTACGTGCAATGAATTATGTGTATTGAAATTTTATTTCATTTAAAAGATAACGAAATATCTTTTACGGAAAAGTTATTTGCTACAGTATTGTGAGTACCAGAAAGATATATTACGGCGCCAAGAAAATCAAGTGGTCAAAACGTATAAGTAACAAATAAACAAAGAAAAGAAGAAATTGTGTTGCTATAAATTTTGAAACGGGACAATGCTTTTAGTATTTCAAGTATGTTATTTTATGGGTAACTTCGAGTTTAAGAGATCTTCATGTATTATTTGCTTAAAATCCTTCTTATTTTACAAGATACAATAGATAATAAGAAGTAGTATTATAAGATCCCCGACGCTGCTTTAGCTTCGCTTGATAAGTAAGATTTATTCCAGTTATAGCACACATTAAAACTTTGTCCTGTTTGAAAGATTAAAGTATCTGTGTAAGAGTTATATTTATCAAGAGTTTTAAGAAAAACAAAATGTTGCCTTAAGTCGACCTACATACATTTACGACTTATGTGCACGATTCCAAAACAAAAATTTATTTATACTAATTTGTGTGCAAATAGTACTAATACCATATTTACATAAAATCATAATCTGAAATCACATGCCTTGAGTTACTATTGGATCGAAGAAGGTTTTTGATTTAAATATTATAATTTTAATTCATCAAGTTAATTTTTGTGCGTTATTACTTAAAATAATTTTTAAATTTGCTAAGAAACATTCTACAATTTATTTTTAAGTCGGATCTCAATCAAATCAAAATCTATATATTTTTTTTTTATATTATGACCAAGATTTTATACCCTTGTGTATCCATACCTTAATATGAATAGAAAATAAAAAGAGTTTTAATGTTATCTCACTTTTATTCCATAATAGAAGCAGTGTTGGTAGCTCTAGGCGGTGCAAGTGCAGCGTTGGTGCTATTAATCGTGATGGCAGGAGTTTTTTGCGCTCGTCGACGCAAAAACAGCCCAAGCCCAGCCCCATCTCCACCAATTTTGGTGTATCCTCCTCATGATATCGCTGCTTCGTGTTATTTGTAAGTATTGATATAAATAGATTTCATTAATATTTTCAATTCATTAGACCTTTTAATAATTCCCATGATGATTTTTTTGTAAAGGGATTCTTTATTTTTAACTACATACTTCCGTCATTGCGGTTACATATGCAGTAACCGTGATCACGAACAGAAGAGATGAATAAGATACTCCTGAAGCTTGGGAAGTATGTATTTAAAGTAATTAGAAACGTGTAGTAAACCCTAAAATATTAGTTTTATTTAATGAAAACTCGCCAAAGAGATCTCACTCTTTATTTGGATTTGTTATTTTTATTATGATTTCTTTTCATTGTTTAAATAAAACATAAGTTTCATATTTAAAAAGTAGCTAATCTAGTCTTTAAAAGAATCGACCCTTACGTGTATTGTAAACACAATACAAGAAAGGCACCATTTTATTTTGCTCGACTTTGATTATGATCAGTGTTATGTTTTATTTACGGTGAAAACTATGTAGTAAGTTGAAACAAAATAAATTTAATTTTCGATAAAAAACGGTAATTCCATATGTACCTTAGCTCTACATTAATAACTATGATAAATGACATATAAAATTTCTTAAAATACTTTTATATCAAAAATACGTATACTTAAGATAATATATGTACCTTATATGCATATGTACCTTAGGCAAATTGTTAACATAATTGACATCATTTTACATTACGTCAGTCGTGAAACATTAAATGAGTTACTTATTTAGGGAATATATTGAATTTCGAAAATATATTCCAATTACAAGTGATTCGTTTACAGTCTGTAACAATGATAGTGACGTAATATGATATATACTCGTATCTAGCCGTGTGAGCTACGTACAAAGGCTTTTAGGCCTTGCGTCTATTAAAAGCGACTAACAAATTTGATTATAAAATTTATTTTTGTCTCGGTTGATATTTAAATAACGAATAACTGTTAAATTCTTAAACCTAAAACTCTCATGCATTATAAAGAAAACTAAGGAATAAGACTATGAGCAGACAGACTTCTAAATTTAAAGGCAATGTATATTAAGAACTTAGGGGCGCCTTAAAACAGTTATTAGCGTTGCCACCTTTATCTTTTTGGGTATTTGTCTAGACAAAACGTTTATGCAAATTACTTTTATGTGTCTTAATATTTCATTTAAGGTGTCTTCTGTATTTAAATTGAGAGGAGTTGATTTATTTATCTGTTTCCAAATTATATATTTTAATATAATCGTTAGCGTATTAATATAAATACATGGAATAGTAATACTTACGAGTTTTTATTTTTAATTGAAAATGGATGACTTAAAATAAATTAAAAAACATTATTTCATTCTGAGACAACATATTCCAGTCTAGGTGAATAAAACAATTCATGGTTTCACAATAATATATGATATTTCTATGGAGTGTTGATGGATCTAAGATATACATACATGATAAGGGACCACATTACACGTTTGAGGTAATTGAGCCAAATAAAGCGTTACCCAAGGGGTGAGTAAAGATCCTACATGAATTTAATTCTGCTTTATACATCCCTTTCATGTTCGTACTCAGTAAATTAAGGCTGTGAGCCAATTAAACTGTCTTACATTCAGAGCCATATGAAGACTATTAGGACATTATTATTATTAAAAAGGAAGACTAAGTATAGAAATAATGTATTCATATATTGAATTTTTTTTGATCGAATAAGTAAGGAGTGTTATACATTTTTTTTATTAATGTGGACAAATATGACAACCTAGTGTATGTATATTTCCCAATAATTATTGTTCTAAAAATACTTTATAATCAATCTTATAAATACAACTGTTGATCTAGGCTATTTGTAAGTATTAAATTTGGGCAAACCTAAACATACTAATGCTGCCAGATCATAATGCAGTAATGTGTACCATTATACCATAGAGACTAATTTCATTTGTTTTAGAAAACTTGGGATACATTTTTTTTGTATACCTATTTTGTCTTTTGTCTTTTACAAATAAAATAAATTCAATAAAAATTTAATTTAATACAACTATGTATAAGTGTTTGATAAACCGAAAACGAAAACACAAAAATATATATATATATATATATATATATATATATATATATATAGATGATGATGATGAATATATATATATATATATATATATATATATATACTAGCGGCCCGGTACGTGCTTCGCTACGTATAAAGTGAAATAAAATAAACAAATCGGAACATCAAATTCATTTATTTAATCAAAAAAATATTTTATTTAAAATCGAAATCAATTGCTAGCTATTTACAACACACTTAATCCAAAACATTTGGATAAACAATATTTTTTGTTTTTCCATTTTGAGCATAAATAAACAAACGGCTGGGGGTACCGACTCTGGAACAGGCAACATATAACTGGCCATGTGAAAAACAATGTTCCTCCAAATTCACACCACAAACGTGAAGTGTTTGACCTTGGGCCTTGTTGATGGACATCGCAAATGATAAACGCACAGGATATTGTAAACGTTTGAACTCAAAAGGCATATCAGTTGGAATCATAGGTATACGCGGTATCAAAACAACTTCTCCTTTTGATTTACCAGTTAAGATCGTAGCTTCAATCAAATTTGGCAATAACTTTTTCACTGCCAATCTGGTTCCGTTACACAGTTTTGGTGGATTAATATTTCGCGATAATATAATCGAAGAACCAACTTTCAGATTCAAGCAATGCGGTGGCATACCAGCCGGCTCCAATGAATTTAAAAATTCAATTGGATAATTCATTGCCTCATCTTGATTCATAACACTGTCAATTGATTTATATTTCGTGACTACGCCTGGCAGTTTCGCTTGAATTTGAAAATTAATTGCATTGACATGAATGTTTTTCGGTGCTAAAATGGCGCGTTCTGTCAACCAATCATGATTTCTGTAATTCTGAACAATATTCGGAAAAACACATTCAATCAATTCATCTATCGATTGCGCAATTGTACAAAAATTGTTCGGTACAGCGATCAATCCGTTGGTTCTGTCGATTTGTATTTTGCCGTCACCAATTTCTAACAATTGTTTTGAGAACTCATGGGCAGCTGGATCATTTTGTAGGTGAACACGCATATTAATGTTTAGTGTCAATTTTTGTAGATATCTCCAAAGAACTGATGACTTCAAGCAGGCATTTATTTCATCAGCAGGAGTTGATCGAGGAATGACAGGCAATGTTTGACGAAAATCCCCTGAAAGTAATATCAAAGCACCACCAAAAAGCTGCTGATTACCACGTAAATCTTGCATTGTTCGATTGAATGCTTCTAGTGATTTTTTATTCGCCATTGTACACTCATCCCATAAAATAATTGACGTTAATCGCAGAACTTTTGCCATAGCAGAATTTCTCGATATATTGCAAGTTGGAGTTTCAATCACCTGTACATTCAATGGCAATTTTAATGCAGAGTGTGCGGTCCGACCACCTTCTAATAATGTAGCAGCAATTCCCGAAGATGCAAGTGCTAGTGCAATTTTCTGATCTGATCGAATAGTCGCTAAAATCAATGATATAACGAACGTTTTACCTGTGCCACCAGGTGCATCCAAAAAATATAATCCACCTGCATTATTGGAAACGGCTTGCATGATTGTATCATATACATGTTTTTGCTGAATATTTAATTTGGTTATATTCGATTGTACAAATAAACGCAAATCATTACAGTTGAATTCCTGCTCACGTTGCAATTCACGATCAAACAAATCATGCATGGGACGATTTGGTGCGGTCATACCCAATTGTACTAATGCTTTATTTGCAATCGTTAGACATATATCTTCAATTATTATCAAAGCTTCGTTGCACATTTCCAAGGTAATCAACAAATCAGGATTTCTTGCATGATGACGCATACGAATTAAAATATCTTCTGCCATATAATTTTTATATTTGTTCCATAATTCAAGTGGATTTGATGGCATACATGTCGATAATATAATGGCAAATAGCATTCGTATTTGTTGTGGATGAGCTGACGTAGATGCATCATTAAGTGTTGAATCCCAATGTGCATCATCCTCCAACAAATGCAAGAGTTGACATGCTTCACGATATGTTTGATACAAATGACCGTCGACTGTTCTTAATTCTTGAAATGATTTTGGGCCATTGACGTTAACTAATAGCAATCGCAAATAAAAACACTCAGCATTGTTTGGATGTACTGTATACATTCTCCCAATTGCATCTGTTTTGAAAATGCCTGAATGCCCATCGACTGCTGTTCCTTGTTTACGTCTTTGAAATTTTTTTGAAGACACATTCCATGTATAGTACTGAGGCACTTCGGAATATAACAAATTTCTAGCAAATGTATCAGTTTCGCATAATTTGAAAAAAGCTGTCAACGTAGTCGCTGGTGGGTGTGCTGCTCTTTCCAATGCATTTGCTTCATTAAAATAAATACGTTGGCCATTCTCAAGATGCACAGCTAAGTGAACAACCACAGGATGTCTTTCGTGCATTGGAAACGACAGAATCCTCCAGACAGCTTCATTACTACTAATATAGCGCCCCAGTTGATACTGAGTAATTTCATCATTTCTATTATCACCAGCTACACCGAAAACAGCCATATCGCTCCCTTTATTTACATACTTGCAAATATATTTAATGGATTTGACTGAATTACAATACTCCACATTTATATGAGCCTTGAATATTTTCGATAATAATGGACAATACGGAACCACCCAACGATTATCAACTTCAACGTCCTGGTTACGCATTCTAATGTTTGCCGTTTTGCCATTATCATTAGGTGATCTACGTCTATACAACGGATATCCGTCATTGCCCGTTATTGTGTCTGAAGTCAATTGTCTTGGGTATCGTTTCGAACACTTTCCATCAATCATACATGGCGAATTCATATTTAGTTCACCGCACGGACCATGTATCATGTTTTTAACGACAACATCAAATAACTCAGGATCAACAGTTTGATCAGGAATTTCACCTGATATAACGTTATCGATTTGATCCGGAGTTATTTTATTTACCAGCCAAATTAATATATGTGCGTGCGGCAATCCCCTTTTTTGCCATTCGATTGAGTACATATGGCAACGCACCTCTCCAAATACACTTAATTTCACAATTAAATCCATAAGTGCTGTCAATTTTCGCCGAAAAACACGTGCTGTAATGTCATGACGATCAGTTGTCGACTGGCCTTCAAATAAATTGTTCTTGATGTCATCCCACTGCGGATTACATGTAAATGTAATGAACAGATCCGGTCGACCGTATTTTCGTACATAAGACATTGCGTCTTGTGCATATTCGTTCATATGCCGTGGGCTACCAATATACGAAGATGGCAATATAGTTAAACGTCCGATGTCATTAACATTAGCATCATTCGCTATCGCATCTTGCAAATGAATATATTCTTCGGATCTTAATTTTGCTTGGTTGAAACGAATAAAATTAAGACGTTCAGTCTCTATTTTGGCATACATATCAACTATGTACTGATGATATAGTTTACCACATTTTAAGATATAATTTTGTTCTTGTGGACGAATCATCAATCGATACGAATAAAAATTCATGGCACTAACTTTTTTCTGTATATGTAGACCTGATAATAATTACAAAATGTGACTTTAGAAAGTTGTAGAAATGAAATGTCAACACACTAAAAATAGGTCAATTATTTACCTGTTCGTGGATCAATCATTGGTATATTGATATGGTAACCATCGTCACCTTTCCAATGCAATATTGGGTACTGTAATGCATCGTAACTACGATGAAGTTCCGAAACACGTTGCAATTGCTCATTTCTACGATGAAGTACAATATCACGGGATTGAAACTGATCACCAAGAATTACAATTGCAACCTCATCAATTATTGGTGCATTAAATCGCCTTGCATGCTCTCCAAAAGGTGTTCTATCAGCTCTTATTACGATTTTGTGATTATCAGTTGGCATACGATCGAGAGCAATTTTAAACAATTGAACTAATGCGTTATGCTGATGGAAAAACCTTTGTAGCTCACGAATAATTTCTCGTCTTGTATTCGAAACAATTGCACAACGTTGATCTAATTCACGATTTTCATCACCAATAAAATAAATTTGCAAAAATTGATGATCAGCGTCGGGGTATGGCAATAACGAACCAGCTTGATGATAAATCTGGCCCTGAATCTGTAACATGTATACAATTTTAGGTAAATCTTATATCAGTTTTTTTTTAAATATACTTTATGCTTCAGATTGATACAAACATGGAATAATCCTGTTGAAGTATTTACCTTAAACGTCGGCATAAAATTATCTCTAATAATTTTAGTTGCACCAAAAGAAGTCATTTGAAATGCCGAATTGTATTGTTGAATATGACTCAGAAAGTGCTTCGACGCTTGCGATGTCCCAAAAATAAATGAATACAATGGTTCGGGTGGAGTTTCTAATGCTGGCAATCTCACTTTGCCATTAGCACAACACATGCCGGGTGTTTCACCTCGAAAGTTAGCCGCATCACAATGTGGACATATTGCGTCCATCATTCCAATGTATCCATACATACTATAATCAATCTGACTGTTGTAATTAAAAGCAGCACGCATCATTTCAGCCAAAACAGCACGACGTATTCGTGATGGCCGTGCAAGATTCAGTACAGGTACTGGGTTAACAAATCTATTGCGTGCATTACGTTCACGCTGCGATGCATTAGCTTGTGCGCGTTCATCTGCAGTCTGTGATCGTCTTAGTAATGCCACATCATTTGCATTACGCGTTCGCCGACCTATATTTGCTCGTCTGGCTGGTGGTATTTTTCCCGTATGCACATATGTTTTCGCTTAAAAATCGAAAAAAAAAATTAGAAAAAAAAAAAAACAAATTCCCAAGAAGCTGTCGCATATGATGCCATGTGAAATCATATACGGCAACTTAGAAAAGTATACATAAATTCAGGACTCACCGTTTGTATGAATGCACTGCAAATGCAATTATGTGAAAAGAAATTTATCGCTGATAATATGATTTAATCAAACCACGTCCAAAATGAATTGACGGCATGAATGACATAACAACGTGCTTGTCCTGTCAACAAAACTTAAAAAAAGTTTCTGTGAAAAAAGTTTCTATTGAATTCATTTATTACAAAAAATGTGACAAATGAGGAACCGCTCGACCGATTTTGTGCAAACTTCACATAAACCATCTACTAAATATGCCGACCAAATCCTAAGTATTTGGTTTGGATAGGTGAGCCCGTTCTTGAGTTATGGAATTACAACGAAAAGTGGCTTTGAGTTTTATATATATAGATATAGCAAAATATAAAAACTGTGTGAGGCTACCCCTCTTCCCTTGATATATGTATACATGTACATATGAATATTTGGACCCTACACTTTAAAGGTTCTCTTTTATTATAGCCAACAAAGACATATATTTCGTGTTACCACATATGTTTTTGAAAAGGTTGGATATTTTCATAGCCAATAGTTTTATATTATTCAGGGTACAGTTCCCTATTTATATAGCATATATGTGTTGCAGAAGTGGGCTTATTCACGCTATTTTCAAAATAGCCTCAAGACACTCGCAAAAAGATATATTTAAATAAGACAAACTAGACGGAACATATATAAAAATATTTTTATATATGTATTGGGAAGGAAATAGATTGTGTATCTCTGTCCCAACAATAACAAAAAAAATTACCTTCGATTTTTAATGATTATACTCGTAGTAGACGCACGTGAAACTAACTTTGAAATATTATTTATATTTCTCTTTAAATATTATACTTTATTATAATTATACTCTCATAAAAGTTTATTATAGTACAAAGGATTATTTAAAAGATACATTCATGTAATTGTGTGAATAAAAAAGTCCTCTATTATGATGTAAATATTACATTGCGGAATCTGCTCTATTGTTTGGGACTCGTTGGTTCTCGTTAATCGCTTTATTTCAGTTATAATGTAGAGTGAGGTGTTAACGCAGTATTTCGGATCGTTTAGTTTCATTTAAAATAGTGAGTTTAAGCTGGCATATTCATATGACATAGTTTTGTTTCGGAGCTTTGGTTATTGATCCCGTCTGAAAGACTTGGTATAATTTCATAAATAAGCAAAATAAAATAATCCAATTATTATTGACTTCCTTTTTAATATTTGTTTTGGAATAGCTATCAAGTTGGCCGTTATCTACTCAATTCTGAATTATGTAGAATATGTGTTATAGATTTAATATATACATATTTAGGCTATTTTCGATCTCATATACATATGTATTTGTCAATTATTTGATTGTCACAGAAATGAAACAAATATTATGTTTAGAAATAATACAATAACATCGATAATAAAATTTCGTACTTAAAATAAAAAGATTACAATATTTTATGAATATTACGGAATAAGCATTTTTTTTTTTTAATTTTTAAAAGAAAAACCTATTTTTGCAACCAAAGCACTTTATTGTTTAAATGATTGTTTGATACTGATTTGAGCGTTGTAATATTTCTAGAGATTTATCAATCAAATATTTTCATGAAAAGGAATTGAATAATATTGGAATAAAGTTACATTTTTTGTCGAAATTAAATTTAATTTCAGATATTATTTTAGTAAATTGATGACAACACGCAAGTATAAGGTGCGCCTGTTTAAATTGACGTAATGCCAATGACCTGGAATTAGGATGATGTCGAAATTATTGGAATTAATATTAACATATATTCAATATTTATTCACTAAATTATGAAACAGTGTCCTTTCGGGAACGTGAAACAAATATTCCAAAAAGTTTTGTTACATGAAGTATTTATTATTCAGGACTAAGGAAGTCAACTTCTCGTTGCCAACCCTGCGCTCTTCCTCATTGGGGGAGCTTCGTGACGTCAGTGTATCGAGCCTGAATAGTGACGTGCTCATCCCTCCCACGTCCTACCAGTACCGCTCCAATTCATTCAGTAAGTGTCAGATTTATACCATATTTCAATTTGTGTTACTTTTAAAACAGTGATTTATATACTCAATTAATTTAAAGTTATTTGAATATACACAGTTTATTCTTACAGAACAAATATTTTTATATAAATTTGAATCCAGTTGCCATTAAACAATAATTTATTTAAATAATACAAAAGCATAATAAAATTAGTAACATAAAAATATATATTTTTACTAGGTTTTTTTTAATACTTTTGCCTGAGGAACGTGTGTTGCTCTACACTTTAACCTATAAAAGGTATTTGTTAAACTAAAATGAAAACTTTTTTCTAAAGCATAATAATATTTACTATAGTTGCCTATGTTCTATTACTGTACACGATTTTAAATAACATAAAATATATGGAGTTGTTTATATAACAATTTGAAGGTAAAATTTCCTTAAACCGTAGACATGTAACAGAAACTTTTCGATTTTGGTTCCTAAAATAGTTTTTAAAATAAGCTATACTGACATAAGCGATTCTGAAATCTGTTAGAGTCATAGTATATAGTATTAATTGTATATTTAGGATAATATTACAACTTAAAATGGAACGCCAGACAATTCTGATTTGGGGCGTTGCGTATTATTTTTCATTAGTTATTTCCAAATTCCGTTTCGCATTCATATTATGGTAAACACTTGAGTATTTATTATAAATGTGCCCTGTATAATAAAAACTATTTTTCCGTGGATATGTCTAATTTGTAAATAGTCATTTCTAAAGATATTGATATAAAACAAAACTTAAAACATTATATTTTGAAAGAAACAAACATTCACATAAACACAATTCATTTCTTCGTCATAAATTTTTTATTTTCATTTTCATCATCTATTTTAAAATCAAGACTTATATATCTATATTCTATATATATATCTTCTATATATATAAAAATGGATTGCTGTTCCTTAGTCTCGCTAAAACTCGAGAACGGCTAAACCGATTTGGATAATTTTAGTCTTGAAATACTTCTGGAAGTCCAGGGAAAGTTTAAAAGGTGAGAAAAATTGGAATAATTGCCGGGAATATCCTAAAAACAGCCCTTTTCTTTTTCCCATACAAACGATTTTTTGACATTAGACTTGACAACTAACTAATATGTCAATCATTCTGTTCGATTCAAACAGTAGAAATGTAATAAATACCAATACCGGGTTATTGAAGACGGAATAGAGTTGACCGGGCAAGCTATATTACTAATGACAAAATTAACGCGGACGAAGTCGCGGGCAAAAACTAGTATATATATATAAATGAATTGCTGTTCCTTGGTCTCACTAAAACTCGAGAACGACTGAACGGATTTATCTTATCATAGTCTTGAAATGTTCGTGGAGGTTTAAGGAAGGTTTAAAAGCTGAAAATTTTTTATTAATTTCCGGGAAAACCCTAAAAACAGCACTTTTTTATTTCCCATACAAACGGTTTTTTGACATTAGATTTGACAACTAACTAATATGTCAATCATTTTGTCGCACTTCAGAACACGGAGATTTATGGCTTAAAGGTAAACACCAAAAAATAAATAAGACATAATTTATTTCTTGATTGAGGCAGTATTAAGTCTGCCGGGTCAGCTAGTACTTTATATATGTTTTCGTTCATTGTTATTAACATTTTAGGTTCTTACTAATGTCAAACATAACGTTATATCATTTGATTGATAACAGTACTTGGTGTTATTTAGGTTTTGGATTTTTTTCCTATCTGTAGTTTTTATTTAATATATAAAGAAACAATCAGAAAACGACGAAAATATTGACATTCCTATTTTATCACTTTTTCTATACATGCACATTGTTTTTCAAAGCACGAATAAGCATAATTGTTGACTTTAGATGTGAGCAATATAAATATATTGAAAATAACAAAATATATTGAAACAAAAATTATTTCTGATTTCATGTTAATATTACAAAAACTTATGACTACATGGAGTCACGCCTTGCAGATTTTTATTAAAGAAACTAATATTGTGATAACTGAAATATTATACCCGTATTTATTGTGAAAAGTTTCTGAGAGAAACTAAACTACATGATCTTGATGATGAAAAATTGTGTAAACAAACAAAAATATCACAAGATTATTATTACATTAAAAATTATGACTGCTTATATTTTCATATTACTATTTTTATATTATTACCATTGTGTGTTTAATTTTCATCAGAATGAGTAAACAAATGTCTTTGGGAGAAAAGTTTCCTTCAAATTCTGCTAGTGATTTGTAATCTTAAATGGCTTTTTCCATTAATCTTCGTTTATTCAAGTGATATGACCCGTACGTAGTTTCGAAGATTTTTTTATTCATTATATATACTGAAAATGGTGTGTTGGCAATACACTATTTTCAGTAGTATAGGTATGTGTCATCAAAAAAAAGTATAGGTATGTGTGGGCACTACTTTTGTCATGAAATCAAGTTATACTCTTTTAGCGAGCTTACATACTACAAATCCTACAAAGAATCACGTTAATAGAGTTAAATTGAACTGATCATGAACTTTTGTCATTTGACTTCATGCCAAGTACCTTGCAGTGGCTGTCTACCTCGAATATAAGTTTTGCAAAACACGTCATGATATTTAATTTCAAAGAAAATGGAAATTGATAGTCTTTACCTACTTTATGATGTTCTTGTGGGTGTTGGTAAATGTCGGGGTAGATCAATTACTATATTATTACACGCCAAGAGAATAAGATTTCTGCTGTCTACAATGAATATATCTAATGTAAGACAGAAATAAAGCGTTCAAAAAGTACTCTTTAGAAATTCTTCCTAGTGCCTATGTCATAAGTACGTCTTTGGTGTTACACATCTTCGATAACATTATATTAACAAACAAAAAAAATAGATTTTCTTTCCAATCACTATAAAATTATATAACAAATTTTATATATTACGCTGAACATTGGTTAATAAGAATCAAAATTGGGTGACTAATAAATTTTAATATAACAAAGCATCTAATCCTATTCTGCATAATGATACTTACTTAGTGATATAAATCTTTCCAGTATACGGTACGCCGAGAAAGTTTTCTGAATAAATAAATATGATATGATTTATAACAGAATTAAAGGTCCTCTCATAAAACATTTCATAAGCTTGATTCTTAAATTTCAATATTTTGATAGGAAACAGGAAATCCAATATTCAATACAACCTTGTATTTGAAGCTGACCATAAATCCAATTAGAGACCTGTCAGTTTGAATGCCACGTTGTTATCGAAAGTGAAAATATTAATTCTATGGGAGAGTAATGACCGAATGTTTTCATCGTGTCCGAGGACTTTGATATACATATGGATGGACATATGAATGCTTTCGCATCGATAAAAATATAATTAGTGTTACTTTGGATTTGACAGTTACACTTAGTTGTCTAACGGATGATTATAAAGTATCACCATTCACCTTATCATTTTTTTTGTTTCATTTTACAGCACTAAGCAAACAGCCGTGTTTGCTGTTTTAAAATCAACAATAATACAAATTAAAGAGTGATTTCGACAGCGAATTAGCCCCTATTATGAACGATTATGAACAGCAAAATTTTAACAATGCGAGTTTTTATTTTGAAACTGTCACCAGTGCTCATCTAGATTATGTATCTTTATAAGTTATATAGGAATTCAATTATTTGAAATAATGGATTTTTGAATAATTATATTCTTAATTTTTTCTTGGAAAATGTTTATTGAAATTTCTACTGAGGCGTTATCTTTCCAAATGTCGTAGGCTTACAACAATAGATTATTCACTTAATACTACTTTAATTTATAAAGCAAATTGTTTGAATATAAATTGCGTGATATGTGTATATTCATATTTACAGCACGACTCCTTTTGTTTGTTTTGTTCCAATAAACCGTGATTAAGTTGAAAAAAAATTAAAACAAGAAAAATACAAACTACAAAAAAGATTCTTTTATTGACAAATTAAAGCACCACATGCGTTATAAATTATATAAATCAGGATGACGCATTATGCAGAGCCATGAATACGATGGCACGATGAAAATACGTGATTTATCAAGAGATTGGTAGATTATGATAGCTGGACGTTACTAAGTTATTATTTCCCTTATTGAGGAAATCTATAAAGAACGTTAATAAAAGAATCTAACCTATGGAGATAAATGAAATTCATTGCTATTTCTATAATAATGTTATCACATATATTGGTTATGCCGATTCTTATTACTTGTATATATGTATATCTGTATAGATATACATATATGGACATGACATAAAAGGTAAAAAATTACATTCAGTATTATTCCGCTAATTGCTAAACTTTACAATTACGTGTGATTTTGATCTCGATGCAAATAGGTTAAATGTAAATGTACTCGTTAATCTACAATAAAACTTTAGACTTCATGTTACTTCATAAACATTTTGTTATTTTATTCTATCATAAAGAAGGAAAGACGGTGATTTAATCAGTAAGATTTCCAATATTTTATTCCCACTATAGTTGCAAACGATTCTTTTATCTTTTCAATCTTAATTCATTTTGGAAGTATTATAAAATAACTATGTATTAGAAAAATTATATTTCAATTCAAGAGGACTATTTCATCAAAAGCTACTTCTAATCTTTGATTGAAACTTATTTAGATGGAATAATTATTTTAAAAATAAACATTCAGATATATGTGTTATGTTTCTATTGGTAACCATAATACAAAATACTTTTAGTACAAAAAAGTTGATTTATAGAAAAATTACAATCAAACGTAAAAAATATCTGGTTAATTATTTAATATGGCTATTAAATATTTAGCATCATTTCTGACGTTAATATTTCTGTTGTTAATGTTCTTAAAAAGGTCATTTTATGTTTCTATAGGAGACGATATAAAATACGTCGTCACACTTTTTCTTTTTCTACCTGGCAATTTCCCAGATACAGCCAGGGTCTGCCTTACATGTTGTGTATAGTTTTGGCTATTTGTTTTAA